CGTGCCAGGCAGGACCCGGCCCAGCTGGCACCGGCCCAGCAGATCATCCTGGAAGTACTTGCAGGAACCGGCATGAGCCAAAATTCCCACGTCAGCACGATGGGGCCACGGCGGGGCCGGGAGCAGCCAGCCCCGCTCCCAGGACTGCCCTGGCAGCCGCTTCCCCGAAGGGGCAGGTGGGGACGGCCCCTCGCCGGGGCAGGGGGCATCGGGCCCCCGATGCAGCTGGGTGCTTGGCACATGGGGAGACTGAGCATGGCCCCGCCCCACGGCACCCAGCGGGGCAGGATCTGGCCTCGGGGTGCTGAGCCGAGGTGCCGTGGCCCTGGGCAGGTGCCTGGACGGGGTCTCACCTTGGCCACCTCCAGCTGGTCCCACCACCGTGAAGGTCACACCGCCGGTGCCCGCCCTGATGCCAGGGTGAGGGGCTCCAGCAGCTGGCGGGGGCGATGTCCACATGGGCTGGGGATGGCGACGATCCCGGAGGGACACCGGCTGTGAAAAGCCACCGTCCCCCTCACCCGGTCACCCATGAGTGACCCTGTGGTGCTGGGCCCTGGCCAGCCCGGCTGGCGAGGCGGGAGCCCTGCGAGCAGGTTAATGAATCACCAAGGCACCACCAGCACCATCCCAGCACCCGCCCCGGTGCCAGGGCTCCGCTGGGCGCCCGCCACCGCACCGAGGGGCACTGCTGCCCGCTGGCCCCGGGAAAGCCCCGCAGCAGCGAGGTGTGGGCAGCGGCCGGGAGCACCCGGCTCCCAGGATTTGCATGTTGGTGATTAAGACAATGAGGCAATCGTCACTGTTGCCACATCAGTGTGAATCCCCAGAGCCCGCTATAAATGCCCTAATCGATGAGGCCGCGCAGAGCCGGGGCAGGAGCGAGCTGTGCCGGGCTGGGCCGCGCTTGCAGAGAGGAGGAGACACCGAGCCGGGCACCATGTGCTCCCTCACCCGTGAGTACCCGCAGCCCCAGCGCCTGCTGCACCCGCTGCACCCACTGCGCCCGCTTCCACCACTGCACCCACTGCTCCCATAAAACCCACTCTACCTGTAGCACCCGCTGCACCCACAGCACTCGCTGCACCCACTGCACCTGCACACCCAGAGCCCCCAGCCCACGGCCCTGGCACCGTGGCGCTGGTGGGACGTAGGGAGCGCCCGGTCCCTCGCCCCATTTCAGGGGGTCTCTGCCCCTTCCCCAGGCTGCGTTGGTGCCGCCATCCCTGGGGGGGCATCTGGTGGCTGAGCCCAGCTCCCGGCGCTGGGTTGGGGACAGGGGTGTCCCCAGGGCGGGCGCTGAGCCGCTGTCCCCACAGGTGTGCTGGCGCTGCTGGGTGCGCTGCTGTGGGCGCCGTGGCGGGCGCTGCACGGGGCGCCGCTGGCCGAGCTCTCGGGGGACCAGGACTTCCAGCTCTTCCTGCACAAGAACCTCGAGTTCACTCGCAAGATCAAGGGGGATGTGGCCGCGCTGCAGCGCGTGGTGGTGAGTCCCGGGTGCCGCGGCGGGGGGACGGTGGCCGCGGTCGCTGCGGGGTCACAGATAAGGTGGCCTTCCCCTCCCCACCCTTATCAGCACCTCAAGGCCGGGAGCCAGCAGTGGCCCCTGCGCCTCGGCCTCCTGCCGCGCTGCTCAGCCCCGGGGTCCTGGGGCACCCACAGGGGCTGTGACCACGCACGGCCCCGCTGCTCCCTCAGGGATGCGTGGGGACCTCCCCGGGGCTCGCAGCGGCCAGGGCAGCCGTGCCGCGCTTTGCTCTTGTCCTGTCCCCATCTCACCGGGCGGCAGGTTCACCCCATCCCCTCCCTGCTCCTGGCTGGGCCGTGGGGGGGTCCCGCACCCCAGGGATGGGGTGGCGGGGGGCGGCGGGGGCCTCCGGCCGTCCTGACCTCGTCCCTCTCGGCCGCAGTGCGACACCTTCCAGCTGTGCAAGGAGGAAGAGCTGCTGCTGGTGCGGCAGGACCTGGGCATCACGCAGGTGCCGCTGGAGCAGGGCCACAGCCGCAACTTCCAGGCGGTGAGTGCGGGCAGCCCCCCCCTGCCACGAGCTGGCCGGTCTCAGCCCTGCCGGCTTTGCCACTGCTTGGGGCAGCCCGAAGCCCGCCGTGGCTCGGTGGGGCGGCGACCGGGCGGTGCCGAGCCCCGCTGACCGCGCCGTGCCCGCCCGCAGGAGGCCTGCTTCAGCCAGATCCGCGACGGGCTCCGCGCCTACCACGGCTCCCTCGCCGCCGTCCTGGAGCTGCGGCCCGGGGACGCCAGCCTGGTGGAGACGCTGCAGCCGGACGCCGCCAACCTCTCCTCCAACATCCAGCAGCAGGTGAGGGGGGAACGGGGCGGGCATGCGCGGGGTCTGCATCCCCGGGGAGATGGGGAGGGCACACGGGGGCCGCGTTGCCGGCGGGGACGGGGAGGCCACGGCAGGGACACGGGGCTCGGCATCCCCGGGCTCGCACCCGCTCCACGGGCAGCACCGGGACAGTGCCGCGCTCCCGAGGCGTCTCTGGGTCCGGAGCTGATGCCTCTGCCTCTGCCTCTGCCCGGCTGCAGATGGAGGACCTGGGCCTGGCCACGGTGACGTACCCCACGGAGGGCCCGGACGCCCTCCCCGCCTTCTCCTCCAGCTTCCACCACCAGGTCGGCGGCTTCTTCATCCTGGCCAACTTCCAGCGGTTCCTGGAGACGGCGTACCGGGCGCTGCGGCACCTCGCCCGCCTCTGACACCCGGCCCCGCACCACCGCACCCTATTTATTTATGTCCCAGCCTGAGCGACCTTCCCCGGGGGTGCCCGGCTTTTCCGCTTATTTAATATTTATCGCTATTTAATATTTATCTGGCTGGGGATGCTCCCCTGCCCATCAGCCCTCGAGCAGGGCGGCCGGCCCTGCGGTGGCATCCGTGCACGGGTGTCTGTGCGCGGCATCACCCTTGTTTAATATTTAAACAAAAGCGTATCTCTGCTACGAGGTTCGGGAGCTGGGCTGAGCCCCCACGGCTGCCGTGGGCACCGCGTGTGCCTCGGTTTCCCCACGGCTCGCACAGGGCGCTGCGGGTACCCCCGCGGCATCCCACCCGGCCAAGGGGAAACCGTCTTCGTCCGTGGATGAAGATGCTTCAGAGCAGCATCTCCCTGCCCGGGCTGCAGCCTGCAGGGACAGATCTGACAGGTCTCAGTTCTATTAGGCATAGTTACATTAATTAATATTTATTAGCCATTAGGTAAGGAGGAGGGAGGGGAGGCCAGAGGTGCCGTGGGGACGCAGCAGCCTCCCAGGATGAGGCTTTTCCAGGGGAGCCCCAGCACCTTTGGGGGGCTGCGGCTTTGCTCTGCCAGCGCCCGTCCCCTTTCCCTGCTAAACTCAGTCTATTTATTGCAGTTTAACTTATTTGCACCCATCTCCCGGCCTGGGGGAGCAGCTCCGTGCCCCCAGTCTCGTGGCTCTGCCGGCAGCTCCCACCGGCCCACACAGCCGGATTTGCGTACTGGAAATTTCGCAGCTCGCCCCGGCGGGGGCTCTCAAGTGGTGTGTTTTGTACTGTATTTATTGCTGCAGCTGGGTGAACCCCAAAGAAATACGTGCTATTTTTTTATATGCAATAAAAATGGAAATAAACTCTATTTTTGCTCTGGAGTCTGGGCTGTCTGCCTTTCCTGCCGTCTCCCGCCTGCGTGGGGGGGATGCCGTGTGGCCGGGGTGCGGGGACACGGGGACAGAGAGACGGGAGCAGGGGAACGGGCTCATTTCCACCGCGGTCACTGGCACCGGCTCAGCAGTGCCCGGCCCAGGTGGAAACCAGCACCCCCGGCCCTCCTGCCCCTGCGGCGCGGCACGAGCCCCCCAGGGCCAGGAAGCACCTGCGGGGTGGCCGGGGGCGGATG